AAGAGTGTGTATTTTGAAGCTTGGCTTAAGTCAAGGGGCATAATGTCAAGTTTGCGTGCTCCTACAGCCCAAATGCTTCGCTTCAGTGTTTGGAACAACCTCTGTAGATACTGGAGATAAGTCTATTCTCCACACTAATTACCTTTTCCAGGTTTTTGGTGGTTTCTTTTCAAGAACTAAGATCGTGATCAAGTAAGACATTAGAAAATACATTGCTATGTTCAGCTTGCTTGCTACAATACAAACATCTCCCAGAGAATAAACCAATGAAGTTTTTTAATGTCAGCCAGAGATTTCAAGTCAACCAGCCTACAGGTTCAAGCATCTATCTTTCATAAAAAATAATTAAGGGTTCCTTAAAGGTCTTCAGGTACCTTAAAACAGCCTGTAATTGTAGAAGATAGTTCATGACCTAATAATGTTGCCAGGGTATTCCCAAGTGTGTTCAGAGTCATGTATCAGCACAGATGTTTTAATGTCTGTTTTTTGTGTCTGTTTTATCTCTCTTCTGGATGCTGTTTTAATTCCATGGAGACAAAAGTTATTAAGGAAACCAAAAGATAAAAATTCAGAAAAGTGAATTTGTAATTTGTGAAAAAGAGATGTAATGTTGAAATTCAGTATTACTAGTCTGTCTCTGTAGTGAAAGCCTCATCTCAAGATCCAGATTTACATTCAGATTCTTCTAAAATTGTGTCTTACTCATATAATTGTGCATTACTCCTTCAGCATGAGGTTTCCAACTTTGTATCCCAAGCATGTTTTTGGATATCCTTGAAAATGTGGTTCTGACAACTTTTTTTTTAAACAAAAAGAAGGATCATGCTCTTTGGACAGCAAAAACGAGCAGTAAGAATTCCAAGAGCAAGAAGCATGTTTCACTGAATAGTCATAGGCTGGATAAGATCATCATGAAGTGTCTACGGCCTTTTCTTCTTTCACACAGTGCATCCATGTCCATTCTGATTTGTCTGTGGAATAAATTTGCTATAGTAGTACCAGAAGCAGTGGTAGCTTACTTGCATTTAGGGCCAGTCCCTGATGTGGCACTTTTCTGGCATTGACTTCCAGCTCAAGGAGAGCTATGGTGAGTTCAGCAGTGCTGAATGCCATACCACTTTATTTCTTAGCAGACTTTGAAGAAATAAGAGCTGTGGTAAATATAACAGGAAGTTTAAAAATGGCATATCTCACATTTTGCATAATGTGTCACACAAAAGTGTGACAATATGTCTCCTTATCTGTCCTAGCCAAAACAAGAATCCTGTAGTGTCTGTAGTAAAGAAGTCAATGAAATAAAAAAAAATAATAAGGTGGGTTTTATTAATGCATTTGTTAATAGTACATCTCTGACCATTTTCACATTTAAAAAATATTTTGGCTCTGTGACACAATATATCTGAACTTTGTATTAAGGCAATTGTAGTGAAGACTGCTACAATGGAGTGCTGTCTACTGCCTTGGTCAGGACTGCTCTGCTCACTTCAGCGAGCCTCCTTCGACAAGACATCTGAAGGTGCAAAGGTGTAAGAAAAATGGAGTGTAACCACAGCCATAACCTGGCTGTTCCTACTACCAAGGCAGCAGGAGAATAACTACCACAGAGGTCAGGTAAAACTGCATCATTTCATTTTCATTTGTGAATGGTACTGAAAGTACTTTCTCAGTTTCTGAAGACAGCTACATGCACCTTGTCTAAGATTGTTATTTTGTAGCTTACATTGTTTGTGGAGAAGCACACAGTTCTGCTGTCCTTAAGTGGATTGATCACCGTGCGTTTCAGCTGGTGATCCTCTCTGGAGAGAGGACCACTATTGCACAGCTCTTCGATGCATTATCCCCCTCTACACTTTCTACAGAATAGAAAACTTAATTTTTTAATCTTTCTTGTCATCACAATGCAGACCTCTGACCTACAGACACAGCCAAAGCCATTTGTTTCTCTGCTGCTTCTGTTGCAGTGTGCCAAAGACCTCTTCTCTATATCGCTTTTTAGGCACTGCAGCAAAGATGGTCAGTAAGTTAGTCAGCAGCACTGGGTATACTTTACTCTAAGTGTATCCAACCCTTTAATAATGAAAAAAAAAAAATCCTTTTTTTTTTACCATCAGCTGATGTCTAGGCATAACTGAATTTTGCTGCCCAGAAGGATCCTGAAAGATCCGGATCTAAAGACAGCCTGGAACTGGTTGCTCCTGAGTGATGAGCAATGGAGAGGCCAGTTACTCCTGCTGCCATGCTGGAGTTGGAAAGGGTGGTGACAGCACGTAGTGTTTTTATGAGTGACCGTCCATTTCCTGGACTACACCATAGCCAAGGAGGCAGCGGAGCCACAGGTATTTCACTGCCCCCCACTGTCTACTCCCTATTTTGCTTTTGCCTATAGCTGCCTGCAAGCTTCTTGCATCATGATTTTTAACTTTCTGAGTGACTTAACATTCAGTGCAATGTTTGTTAAAAGTCAACTGAGTTGGAAAAGGTGATGGGATGCAATTACAAAGAAATGGTGAATTCTCAGTAGCAATTACAGCATGTTACTCTGGGATATGTGGTTACATTGAGAACCACAAACTAATTTGCAGTTATGTTGATTCATTTCCTCACTTAGACTGTGTGAGACAGGACTCAACTTCTCATCATTTTCCAAAGTGTAGAGACCTGGTAGAAGTGACAGAGTGAAAGTAATTTAGCCACCTATTCCAAAAAACAGGGGGCAGGCTTCCTGTGCATCTTGATACTGCTCACTTGCTGTTGTTTCTAGTTAAATACACCTGCTAAGAGTTTCATCCATATGACAACTTAAGTGAATTGTATTTCCCTTTTTCCAAAGTCGGCTCAAAACACTCGGCTGCAGAGCCATTTGTTCTTATTTCTCAGCTCTATTTTGAGGGCAGATGGATTGTGGCAGAGAACAAGATTCTTCATGTGCATGTCTTGGCATCAGTGTTCTTGGGAGAATTTTTGAGATCCGCTGAAATTCAGCTTTATACTTGAATGTTGTTAGTGAAGGCCAGCCTTTTTCTCTTGCATTGTTTTCCATATAAAGACCATGAGTGCTCTTTGATCTACAGGTTTGCCAGAGCAAGCCCTGCATTCCTAACAGACCTTGGGAAGGAACTATTCACTTAAATTCTTTGGAAATTCCACCTGAATTCTAGCAAAACTGGATCCATGTTCCTGCTCTTTGTATGCACTTGCCAATTATCTCATATATTAGCAAAGGAAGCCTTGTTCTGTTGGCATTTTGGGTGGTGGTGATTTATTCTAAAGCAAGTACCATGTTCAGTTCTGTGCTATTTCCTGAATTGTGCTATTTCCTGAACTCAAGCGTGTTTCATACTCTGTGGTACCATCCCCTTTTATTACTGCTTATATGAGTGTTACTGGATTAATGTACATTTGAGGATCTCTGTCACGTTAGCTGTGGCACCTCAGCATAGAAAACCACCCGGAAAACTAAAAACAAGTTTCTGCTTCCCCTTCCACCACTAAAGAAGTGTTAGTTAGTTGGTTGGTTAGTTAGTTAGTGAAGAAGTGTTAGACTAAAGAGTGCTTGGGATTTCTTCACAGATACTCAAAAATGTTCATTGTAGACCAAATTCAAATGAAAGGCAGTGATTTGAAGTGAAAACTGAACACTGGCTGTTGTTCAGAGGCCATTAAACATAGGATTTATTATCAGAAGTTCCAGTGCTATTGAGCAATGCTTTGTTCACAGTAGTTTTGAATCATGATACACTGGATATCTGACTACTGACTGACCAGCTAAGGGACAGCTAAGGGACATCTAAAGCCTCCTGTAAATTAGGCTGAAGTCCCAGCAAAATCAGGCTGAAGTCTCAGTTCAATGCTGCAAATTAGGCTGAAGTCCTTGTTCAATGTTGCAAGATGACATGCCTGACAACTGGCCAACCTAGGGAGGGGCAGCCACTTTGAGAAAGACATTTTTATACTGCCCACTCCTTTTTCTTTGGTTTTATTCACTTTACATTAGCTTCTTTTTCTTCTGTAAATATGTGCATCTGAATATCACTAAAATCAGCGTGGGTCAAACCTGGTGAGCTGAACCTGAACAGTTAACGTCAGGTATTTGATACCCTCTTGGGTGCTTCCAGCAAGAAATTAATTTTTCTGCCTGCAGTCTCCTGTTGAACTGCTGTCCTCCATTCTACTGACTCTTCAGCTGCATCTTGACAGTGTATCTTTCCTCAGTTCTAGCTCTCAACTTGCATCAGTGCAGAGTTGTAAATATGTGTGTTATCTAGTCAAGAAGAGTGAAAACCTGTATACCACATGCCAAGGCTTGAGGAAGAATAAAATGCATACTGTCTGGAGACTTGTTTTCCAACCTCTAAATGCCTTTTTTTTTTTCCCTATCTTGAGAAAAAAGCACAACTCGTAGAAACTTAGTGAAGTAAATTAACACCAATTCCATTGCGTTTCACTGCACTTAGATCCAGATGCATCAACATTGCTTTTGGATGTCATAGTTGTCATAAGTATTATAAAGAATGCTATCACAAAGATTTCTGTGGGTCTAGGGCACACAATACGCAGTAAATCACTACTTCTCTTAGCAGTCACTATAGTAATAGTAACCATACTGAATTCCTGTACGATTCCTAAGGACAGAATATTCTAATCGTCAGTTCAGATGAAAGAACTCATATAGATAGACATTCAAAATGAAAGTCATTACTACCAAAAATGCGATTTATCGTAAATTGCTATGTATATATGACTGCTTACAAAACTTTAAATGCATCTCTCTGGGGTCAAGGTAAAAGAAAATAACCATATGCAATTGTTGGAAAAATAAGCTGTTAAAAGCATTTCTTACTGCTTTTTTCTTGAAGATGAACCTTCTAAATTACCATGGATCCAACAAAGCTATACAAAAACATATAGCTCCTTAATATGATATTCAGTGTCTTTCCTGTTGTGCTTTTTGAGTCTATGGGA